AATTGCAATATTTCAACAAACTGATGAAGCATAGGAGGCTCACTCATCTATGCAAAGAGAAGTGACCCAATGGGATGTGGTAAATCATCGAGCAATATAATTAATATAACATGCAAGTAAAATTTCGAAGATAATTGAAAACGGTTGGAATAGTAAATCAACAGGGAACTGCCAGCAATTTAAGCTGGATTCAGAAGAGGATGTGGAACTAGGGATATGACATAAGATGGATCTTAGCTGAAAGCAAAGCATACCAGAGAGATGTGTACATGTGCTTTATTGACTATATAAAGGCTTCTGACTGTATGGATCATGACAAGCTATAGATAATGTTGCAAAGAATGGGTATTCCAGAACACTTAATTGTGCTCAGGAGGAACCCGTACATAGACAGGAGTCAGTTGTTAGAAAGAACAGAAGGATAGTGAATGGTTTAAAGTCAGAAAAGGTGTAAGTCAGGGTTGTATCCTTTCACACCATGCTTACTCAAGAGAGGGACAAAGTTAGGGGCTCTAATACATGGCAGGCACACACTATCAAATATCGTAAAAATACAGAACAGTAGAAGACAAAATAGATTGGGACTTCCTAAAAATTAGAAACTTTATGTGCATCGAAAGATTCCATCAAAAGAGTAAAAAGGAAGCCCACAGACTGGGAAAAACGACCTATTAGATAAGGGACTAATTATAGTTGAAAAATGCAAAGCAAAACAAAATGAGAGTATCATCTCACATCAGCATTAATCACAACGTCAAAAAAAAAAACCCAGAAAACAACAAATGCTGGTGAGAATATGGAAAAGACTGGGACCTTCCTACATTGCTGGTGTAAGGACCAAACTGATTTTGCCTACCTAGAAACTGCTTGACTAAACTCTAGTCAGGCTCAGGAAAGCGTTTTAAATAGACAAGGCCTCAGTTATTAGTTCCCTCCAGAGGCTCGGTCAATCTCCATTCTGTACATTAGCCTGAACACGTACTCTAGCTCCAAGAATATGATATATGCATAAATAGCCAGGCAGCTCAAGGCCAGAGGCCAGATGTTT